TTTTTTGGATCGAGTCCAGGACCGTCGTTTCAGGTCCTAGGACCGGACCGGACCGGATTCGCAATTTAACATCCCTATGATCAACCACAATTCTCAGGGGATAAATTCTCATTTACTGGTTTTCCCTCTCGAGCACTCAACTACTATAGCTATCGCTTATTAATTTCATGATCTGCATTAGCATTAATAATTGACCCGAGTAATTTTTAAATCGGTGAAAATTAATAATTGATGGAATTAAGCGTAAATGCATTGTATGATCATTTCCTCCAAAATTATACGTATAGATTAAACCATTACATCATAGCTTAAGACTAATTTATCATTATGGCTACACTATCAATGTACACTAAACCTTTTTTATTAGTATTGTATCTGGATTTATACATGTATCCACTTGATTTCACGTGTTACACTAAGCCTACTTCCGAAATTTCCAGATTGTTGTTCATATGTAACACATTGGCACATTATCGCTTAGCATCCAACCAATTGGTATCATTAATCCCAACACCAGGTCTTCGCCAGAATCTAAGACTAAGCATACAGTATTAGTTAGTTTTGGGCTAGATTCTTTTGCTACTTGTATACTTTTGTGCTGGTTGGCTTTAAATATGCATTTTAATTACGATCGCGAGCTGTTATAGGGTAAGTTCATTATGTGAGACCATTACATTTAAAGAAACTGGAATTATTAAAAATAAACAAAAAATAATCCTCTTTGGAATGTAACGGTAGAGGCGCTGATACGTACGTATTACGTTAAAATACATCGAAAAAAAAAGAAAAAAAAAAGTTGAATTACTTAACTAGATATGTATTCTGTTCGTTATCGATATTTCTATTTTCATCAACAGTTACGTCTTAAAAGTACAGAGACAGTTGAAATTATTTCAATTGAGCAACTGGTTGTTGTCTTTGACATTTAAATCTAGTATACAATAAGAATAACGTGAAAATTATTATCAGTAATTAATTAATTATTGTTGTCCACAGGCTTGGGTCCAGCCAGATATTGTAATATTTGATCTCAGATATCTCGTCAATCTTTTAATCTTTTGACCGATTAACTGAGTCGATCTCCTGATTTTAAAAATCTGTACATCATAATTACTACATCGTGCCTCGTACCTACCAATAGTAAATGAGACAAAACCATGCGTGAAGTTCATTTGAAGTTCATTGTACGAGTATTTTAAAATAAACAATAACTATGATGCTCATTGTACTCTTATTTCAGATTATTCTGTAAATAGAAAGTGGTTAATTATTATCCCGGAAAGGGAGGTCGATAATCTTCAAAAGCGGCTGACAAATAGTATCTAATAAGAAATCACGATCTTAGTACTATATAAGCCCCCAAACCACCAAAACTTTTCATTCTTTTGGAAAACTCGCTGTAAGATCACACAAAAGAATGCAGTCTGTTTACAGATTGGTATCGACTGTAAATCAATTTTACAGAGAAATAAATCCTTCGACGCTTTCAGGTGCTATTGATGTCATCGTCGTTCAACAGCCTAATGGTGATCTTGCATGTTCGCCATTTCATGTCAGGTTTGGGAAACTTTCCGTTTTGAGGCCACAAGAAAAAAAGGTGTGTACTGTGCTACTGATCTTTTAAATCTTTTATTTTTATGCCTTAAATTTTAATCTTGGTTTATTTTAGGTTGAAATGACTGTTAATGGCAAAGTCGTTGATTTTCCAATGAAGATAGGTGAAGCGGGTGAAGCATTTTTTGTTTTCGAGACTGATAAGGTGGTTCCAGAGGAATTTCAAACGTCTCCACTTACAGGACCTACTCAACCTACCTTAAGTGAAGAGGTAATTCTTTTACTCATATAACTAATAACCTAATTTATTATAATGCACTCATACGATCCTTGTTTATTCTGAAGCCCGATTTTCTTGATTTAGGCGCTTCAAGCTCTCAAAATTCACCGGTTTCGAAAGAGAATAGTAATTATTTAGGTTTAGTTGATCTTTGTATTTAACAACAAATTATCATTTCTAACGATTCATCTGACAATAGCCCCAATTTATGATTTTGGACGTAATAATGTTCTCGGCAATGGTACGAATTAATGATTATTGTACTGCTTGTAAATATCTCTTTTACATATTAAATTTATATTGTTTTATGAAATTGTTCTTATTTTAGATTTTGGCACGGAAGAAGGGGCTTCCGATCCAGAAAACATTGCTGATTTATCTGCGATTTCGCAAGATGCAGTAGTTGCTGTTGGTTTCTCATCAGATGATGAAACAAACGCAGGAAAAATAGTTATACAGGTTGATCCTCCTAAAGAGGAAGTCGAAGGAAAAAATGTAATTAAACAGACGAATTTAAATATTATAGAAGAAATTAATTTAGAACAGATAGAACAGGATTCAAAATCTGAATATGATTCCGAATCAAATATAATATTACTTGGTACCACTTAATTCTCTTAGCTTCGGTAATGCTTGAGAATTGTTTAGAATTAGTCGATTGATTTTGAATTAATACTGAAGAAGGTAATTGT